ATCCGTGAAACTCTAGCTGATTTAAACAACGAATGTGCGCGGCGCTAAGGCTGGAGTCACATTTTGAACACCACCCGCCCTCAATACATGAAGCTCTTGCATTTCAAAAACGAATGTGCGCGGCGCTAAGGCGAGAGTCACATTTGAAAACCACCCGCCCTCCATCTATGGAACTGTTGCCAATGTTGCAACGTCAGGGTCATAAATGGTGAGGGGGTCTCAGGCGAAACGCCGGGCCCCCCCTAAAAACTGGCCTCAGTATGCGACAGGGAGAACTTACTTTCACGACAAAGAGATGGAGGAGGAGGAGGAGCAGGAGGAGGAGCAGGAGTTGGAGGAGGAGGAGGAGGAGGAGGGGGAGGAGGAGACGGAGGAGGAGGGAGAGGAGGAGGCGGAGGAGGAGGAGGAGGAGGAGGAGGAGGGGAGGAGGAGGAAGAGGAGGGGAGGAGGAGGAGAGGGAGGAGGAGGAGGAGGAGGGGGAGGGGGAGGGAGGAGGAGGAGGAGGAGGAGGAGGAGGGAGGAGGAGGGAGGAGGAGGGGGGAGGAGGGAGGAGGAGGAGGGGGAGGAGGAGGGCGGAGAGGAGGAGGAGGAGGAGGAGGAGGAGGAGGAGGAGGGGGAGAGGAGGAGGAGAAGGGGGAGGGGGAGGGGGAGGGGGAGGGGGAGGAGGAGGAGGAGGAGGAGGGAGGAGGAGGAGGAGGAGGAGGACGAGGACGAGGAGGAGGACGAGGATTGGAGGACGAGGATTGGAGGAGATGGCGGCGTTGCAGGCTCGGATTCAGGCTCACGGGGCAGCTTCGGTGGCACGGTCTGCTGCGTCGCCCCCGGGCGGTGCTGGTCGATAAACCGTCGCGAAGCGACGCGCCCCGACAGCGCTGTGTTGCTCCACGCTGGTTCTATGTTTGACGATAAAGTGGTCAGGTCCCACGGGATCGCTGATGAAAAAACAACCCCTCTGCCCCGATTAGTAGGTCGACCCTGCCAAATCAAGCGTATCTTTCTGTCCTGTGTTTCGCGACTCGTGCCTCCTGCATTCGTATGGCAATGTGATCCTCGGAAGGGTCTTGTGTCCTCTTGCGTGTCCTGTCCAATGAAGTCCGACTGGATTCAATCCGTCGTCGTGGCCGTCGTCATTCACCCTTTTCTCCCCCTCCCCTCCTGCCCCCTTCATGCCCTGGCCTTGCCCCCCTCTCCTCACCTCTCATCAGATGCAAAGCCGGGTATCAATGCCTGGTGCGCGTTTGCTGTTAGATCGTCTGCACGATTACGTTTAAGTCGGGCCTGTCCCTCTACAGGAGGAACATTCAAAACTAGTGAAAACATAGTATGGGGACGATTTTCTAATATTTTTTGCCAATTTGGAGGGCTTTTTGTGTATTCTTAATTTTCCGCACAAGATCCCCCTGTAGGGGGACACGCCCCTAAAATCATGTCTTCTTCTCCTTCGTCTGCCCCTGCTGCGGAGGAGGGGCCCCTCCACCGTGGTTCCATGCTATCTGGCTACCGCGAGGGCAGGCATGCACCCTGGAGTTCCGCCACATCTACAGCCCCGCCACCGTCGTCATCGCTTGGGTCTCCTGCCTCTGGGGTGGCTGGGCAGCAGGACCGTCGAAGCCGCATCAGGAAGGCGAGGTGAGTCAGTGCCGTGTGTGGTTTTCCCCCCCCGTCGTCCTCGTCCCCCTCATCCTCGTCCTTGAATTTCCTCGTTGCCTCTGTCCTCCCACCCCTGCTCATGCTACCGGCCCCTGACACTTGCAAGTCTTGCCTGCGCAATGCCACGTTGGCATCGTCAAGAACTGTTTTCGTGAAGCCGTCGCAGCCGGCCCCGCCCCCCCGATTTCGCAGCGCATCCTTGGTGCGCCCTGGCAGGGAAGAGGGAGAGGAGCCCGAACAGGGGCGTGGTACGTCAGGGAGCAGCCCCGGAGCTTTTGAAGGAATTGTTTCCTCAGGAGGGTTGGAACGCGCAGACAGCGTGCACCCCGAGCGAGAGTTACGATCACGTTGCGTGAGACGGCCCTAATCGTTGGTGTTGTCATTGTCCTCTTCGGGTAGCACTGGAGGAGGAGGGGGAAAGATACAGGGAGAGAGCTCCAGAAGGGGAGATATATACACACTCATACACACATACACATACACATAGACATACACATACACATACACATACATACACATACACATACACATACACATACACATACACATACACACATACACACATACACACATACACACATACATGTACACATACACATACGCATTCACATGCACATACACATATACACATGTACACATATACACATATACACACATATACATATACACACGTGTATGTATCTATACACACACGTATACGTGTAGATCCCTGGGCACGAGGCGGGGTGGCCCGGGCTGGGACCCTAGACAGCGCAAGGCGGGACCGACGGCCCCGGGGGCCCTGTTGGGGCGCCGGGGGCTCTCTAAGGTCGCTCGACGGCCCCGAATCACAAGAAATGGCGTTTTTCGACGGCGAAAACGACAAATGACGGCCCTAGATCACCCCAGAATTAGCCCCGGATTGTCTAAGAGGCCTGCAAGGCGCCCCAAGAGGCCTCCAAGATGCCTCCCAAGTAACCTCAGGAGGCACAAATCATTGGCGTTCCAATGGTCTTTGAAGGAGTTTCGAGTTCTCGCCTTTCCAGCTTCCCGACGCTTTCTCGACGGCCCAAGAGCTCCAGGAGGGCCCCGAGACGGCCCACGAAGGCTTCAAGACGGTGCCTGAGGCGCCCAAGACGGCCCAAGAGGGCCCCAAGGCGGCTCCAAGAGAGGCCCAGAAGGGGAACGCGAACCCAACCGCAGAGCTTCCCCCCCCCCACAGGAGGCCCCACGTGGCCCCCAGGTGGCCCGACGAGGCCTTCGAACGCCTCCCAGGAGGCCCCCAGAGGCCCCCCCCCCCTGGGAGACGCACGAGAGGCCCCAAGAGGCGCGGGCCTGCCACGTGGTATTTCCAGTTTGAAGCATATCCCGATCCCTATGTTTGACATCACCTCACCTCGATGCCGATCGTAAGGATTCCCTCAGTTCCTGAGGGCCCATCCCTAAGATTGTCCTCGCTTGTTGCTCGCCCCTCTTAGGGATAGGGATACGTTCGAGGCTGGTTATGGTAGGCCTCGAGGTACGCCCTCCCTAGGTGCCTCTGCTCAGCCCGCAGCTGGTGGCGCCGGGCGGCTGCGGCGAGGGTCGCAGCGCGGGCGCTCCGAGAGGGCCCGTCGGGGCCGAGGCTTCGTCGCTCGGGCGCCGGGGCCAGCGGGGGGCTGCAGCGGCTGCGGCTTCCTTGTGTGCAGCCAGCGCTTGCCCTCCTGGGGTGGCCCCTGTCGTGCCCCGCCCTAGTTGTCACGTGGGGGGGGTGGGACTAGGGGGGGGAGGTGACTAGGGGGGGGGGGGATGGCTAGGGGTGGTCGGGGGCGGGAAAGAGGGGGGCGATGACTGGGGGGGGTGGATCTCATGGCGGGGGCCATGATAGTTCCCCAGATTTTGTGGCGCCTCTTCCTATTTCAGGACGTCCCTGGCCCCCCCGCTGGGCCGCGCACGTGCCGCCGGTCATGAGTTGCACCCCCCCCTCTTGGACACCCCCCTCTTGGCCGCTCCCGACCTGGGGTGGCCCCTGTCGTGCCCGGCCCTGTTTGTCGCGTATCGCTCGTTTCGCCCTTCCAATCGACCTTCTTAGCGTCTCGCTCGTACCGTTCGTAGTACGAAAAAATCATGCCATTCCCCCAGCAGGGCTTGCCCAACGGGCCAGAGGCGTGCTAAGAGAACTCGGGCAACTGGTTTACGATTGTCTAGTTCGCCAGCGTGGGGCGGCCCCTGGGGGCCCTCGAACGAAACGTACCCGGGACGGACAGGTCCCGGCAAGGTGAGACCCAGAGATGGTTTTCTTCCTCGGCGTTGCCTTCCAGTCTTTCCCGAGCGCCCCAGGAAAGCTCCAAGAGAGCCCCGTGACGTTCTCCAGACGGTCCGAGGGGTCCTCGGTCGCTCGCCGCCAGACGGCCCAAGCCGCCGCCAAGAACCCCCACCAGAGCCTCAATAGGCTCTCCTAGATGCCTCAACAAGCAAACAGTGTCCCATTCCAGTGCATTTTGCGCATCAGCGACGTTTCGAGGTCCAGCACGTCCAACACTGCCCAAGAGACCTTCAAGATCGCCCCGAGACGGTCCAACAGACTCCCAAGATGGGCCCAACACGGCCCAAGAGGGCCCCAAGACGGCCCACGAGGCTCTCTGGACAGCCCTCGACAGCCCTACGAGGGGCCCCATCGGGGGAGCTCGAATTGAACTTTCCAGCTTGCCGACCCGCACGATCGTCCCAAGACGCCCAAGATGGCCTCCAGACGGCCCAAGACTCCGCCAAGAATCCCCAAGAGAGCCTCAAGAGGCTCTCCTAGAGAGCCTCAACAAGCAAAACGTGTCCCATTCCCCCTCAGAAAACGTACATGTTGCGACGTTTCGAGGTCCAGCGCGTTCAACATTGCCCACGAGACCTTCAAGATCGCCCCAAGACGGCCCAACACACTCCCAACATGGACCTTGCACGGCCCAAAGGGCCTTAAGACGGCCCACGAGGCCCTCTGGACAACCCAAGGCAGCCCTACGAGGGGCCCCATCGGAAGAACACGAATCCCAACAGCTCTTTAGGGCGTAGGTGGTTTCGGGTGTTTTCTCTTCAGCCCCCTTCTTCCCCTTCGGGGATGGGTTCACCCCTGGTTAAACATATAACATAATAATACTAACAAGCACTCTGCCTCCAAATTCGGAGCATGCGCAGCGAACCCGACGCGGCCTCACCCCACCATCCCTGTCACAAAACAATGCAGAGTACACTTGGCGGCGGCGGCGGCGGGGGCAGCGGCTGCGGCGGCTGCGGCGGCGGCGGCTGCGGCGGCGGCGGCGGGGGCGGCGGCGGCGGCGGTGGCGGTGGCGGCGGCGCGGCAGCGGTGGCGGCAGCGGCTGCGGCGGCAGCGGCTGCGGCGGCGGCGTTTCGGCAGCGGGGGCGCGGCGGCGGCGGCGGCGGCGGGGGACGGCGGTGGCCGCCGCGGCGGCGGCGGTGGACAGCGGCGGCGGCGGCGGCGCGGCGGCGGCGGCGGGCGGCGGCGGCGGCGGCGGATGCGGCGGAGGCGGCGGCGGATTCGCCCCCAGTAGCTGTCCATCCAAGGACGACTGCTAAATATGCTGCGGGTCGGGCCAGGCTCGGGTGCTACGTATGTGTTGGGAGGGTGGGTGGGAGTGAGCGAGACGGCTTGTGGGCGGGGAGGGAGTCTCCACCCCTCCCCTTTGCCCCCCTCTCCCCTGAACCTGGAGGGGGCGCTTCGCGGGTCGCCGAAGCGTCCAAAATGGCTTCGGCAAGGACGCCACAATCAATTGTTTTATTTGCGTGTTGGCTGCAGTTTGGCTTCTTGGGGGGGCAGCGCTAATTGAGGGACCCCCCTTCAGTGATCGATCTCCCCCGAGATGGCCCCAACAGCGTTCCCAAGGGTGCTCCCCCCAAGAAGGTCCGAAGAGGTGTCCAGGAGGCATTAAGAGGCCCGCAAGAGCCCCCCCATGAGGCCCCCAGAGGCTCCCAAAATACCGCCAAAAAGGCCCCACGACGATCCCCAAAGGCACCCAAGGCGCTCCAAGAGGCCTCGGCGAGAATGCCAAACCGACTGGTTTTACTAATGTGTTGGCCGCATTGTGGCGTCCTGGGGGGGGGGACCGCTTAAGATGATTCCAAGAGCGCCTGGGAGAGCCCAAAATGACCTCCAAGATGGCTCAAGATATCCCAGGATGGCTCCCACGATGCTCCAAGATGCCCCAAGACCGCTCCAAGGCGGCTCCAAGTGGCCAAAGAGCTCCCCCAGGAGGCTCTGAATAGGCCATCGTTCTTCCAAAAACCGTGGGGCAATCAATGTGTTTGGCTGTCTCGCATTTTCGGTTCCGATGGCCATCCGAGGCTTCAGGATGGCTCCAAGATGGCCCAAGAGGGCTCCAAGAACGCTTCAGGAGGGCCCCAAGAGGCGCCCAGGAGGCCACAGGATGCCCCACCAAGACGCCACCAAGAGGCTCCAAGAGACGCCCAAGAAGACCCCAAGAGGCTCCCAAGAGGGAATGGGTGCAGACCTTTGGGGGTCACGTCATGAAGCAACGTGAGATTCGGAACCGTCGGGCGCACCGAAGCGGAATGCCAGGAATGATGGGGTCAAAGCGCATCGTGGCCCTCGACGCACGTGAACGGACGAATGGCGGGGGGCAAGGAGCGCGCGGAAATAAACATACTAAGGAACGAACAACACATAGCATTCTAATTCGCGTGCCCGTGGCGGCCCCGGGGGGTCACAGAGGGGACAGTACCCAAGCCAACTCTTGGCACGTCCCCGTCAGCGATGCCGGACCTCTTGCGCGCGGGCCTGGGGGCCTGGAGCGGTCCAGGGGTGGCCCGATGGGTCCACGAATCAGAAGCACTTGGCATCGTTCGGACGTGTGTATTTTTTTCCTCGGCGAGGACCATCGAGGACCATCCTGGACCATCGAGCAAGAAAACACGCACGAAACCAACACATGCACGGGAAATGGACGTCCGAACGACGGCAAGAGCATGCCCTACGGCCAGACGCCAACAGCGTCCCATGGCGGCCCAACATGGTCTCACGATGGCCCTCGATGCCCCCAGCACGCCCCTCGAGGCTTCCAAGAGGCAGGCGGAAAACATTTATTTTCAGAAGGTTGTTGGAGGTTTTCTCGCCTTTTCGGCTTTCCCACGCCCCAAGGAAGCCCAATGGGCCTCCAGGACCGCCCCAACACAGCCCCGCGATGGCCCAGGACGGCTCCCGAGATGGCCCAAGAGGCGGCCGCACGGGCCCAAAAACGCCCCGAAACGGCTCCAGGAGGGGCCGAAGAGCCCCCACCATCGCCGCAGGCCGTCCAATATGGCCTCAAGACGGCCCAATAGACCGCCAAGACGGCCGACGAGGCTTCATCTCGTCCTGCTCCTCATCCTCCTCCTCCTTCCCCCTCCTCCTCTTCCTCATCCTCTCTCCTCCTCCTCCTCCTCCTCCTCCTCCTCCTCCTCCTCCTCCTCCTCCTCCTCCTCCTCCTCCTCCTCACTCTCCTCCTCGTCCTCTGCATCCTCCTCTTCCTCCTCCTCCTCCTCCTCCTCCTCCTCCTCCTCCTGCGGTCGCATTCACAAGCCGCCACCCTCCAACATGGAAAGGCTCAAACTTGCGACGAATACCTCCGATCTGCGACGTGTCCCCACGGCGACCATCCAGAATCATCAATCCCTCACCGACACAAGCAAACAAATCACCGACCAGACCCGTGACCACCCACGATTGCCCCAGGACAACCCAGCTAGAGTCTGCGACGAACCCTCCAAACCGAATTCACAGTCACTGCGACCCCCTCAGGAATATACTCCCAAATCGACAGAGGTGCAACAATAAAGGCCGGCGGAATGAGCGCGGCGATTAAATCGTGTTACTCCCCAATCAGAACTTGCATATGTAGGGGTCCTAGCTGGTCAATACGGTCAGGTGAGGTTTGTCACCGATTTCCGCGGCCCGCCGAGGTGCCTGGGTACCCTATAGCCCAATAGCCCTATGGCCAAATAGTTCTGCAGACCTACAGACCCATAGCCTTATAGCCCTATAACCCTAAAACCCTATACCCCTACAGCCCCATAGCCCTACAGCCCTATATACCCATAACACTATATCCCCTATAGCCCAATAGCCTCCTAGCCCAATAGCCCTATAGCCCTATTGCCCTATAGCCCTATAGTCCTATAGCCCTACAGCCCTATAGCCCAATAGCCCTATAGGCCTATAGCCCTGCAGCCTTGTAGCCCTATAGCCCTAGAGCCCTCGAGCCTTATAGTCCTATAACCCTAGAGCCCTATAGCCCTATAGCGCTATAGCCCCATAGCCCAGTAGCGCTATAGCCCGATAGCCCAATAGCCCCCTAACCCCATAGCCCTATAGCCATATAGCCCAACAGCCCTATGGCCCTATGGCTCCAAAGCCCTATAGCCCTATGGACCTTACCCCTGTAGCCCGATAGTTCCATAGCCTCATAGCCCTACAGCCCCATAGCCCTATAGCCCTATAACCCAATAGCCTCATAGCCCAATAGCCCTAAAAAGATCATGATTGAGGGTTTTTCTCCGGTATCATTAAATATATTTGTCTTACGAGCGATGCGAGTGATACGTGAAACATCAGGTCCGATCGGATGAGCGATATGGGCGATACCTGAGAAATGGGATGCACCTCGCGGCGCCCAGTGGGCTTGCGGCAGACCATCCTGGCCGATAGTGCGTTTGGCTGCGGTGCGCGCAAATAATGCGGGATTCCCGGTACCTTAAGCAGAACGGCCTAAGTACAGCGAGGTTCGAGCCAACGCAAGTGGGGAATTAAGGGCCATGCCACGTACATCGCACGGGAGTTACATGTTTGGATGCCTCGTTGCGATTGCTTAGCAAGGCTCCTCCCAGGTGGCGTCGATGCCTGCTGGTCTCGCAGTAATCCGTGCCCGCAGACTCGCGCAGTCTATTCGCACATGGCAGCATACCCTGAGACATGAGACGGTAAAAGGAAACAATTCGTGGACACTCCCCCGCTCCCCCAAACTAAAAGTTGTCACGGACAGAGAAGACTGTAGTCGAAGTGCAGCTCGTTCAACCCACCGCCAACATTGATCATTGGCGGGGGCATTGACAAGATGAATGCGGCATGAGTGTCGCTAATTCATTCTGAGGCCTGTAGCCAACTTTGCCCCCGATGCGTCAAAACTGCGTCCAGGAGGCCCCTGGGAGGCTCCCAGATTGCCTCAAAATGGCCCCAGGTGGTTTCAAGTCGGGCCTCCACGCAGCCAAGATGGCCGATGACGGCTTCTGACTGCAGATCATCACCTTCTGACTGCCCGAGAGACCCGGCGATGCCCACAAGGGACCGCAAACAACCTCAAGGTGCCCCCACAAGAAGCACCCAGGAGGTGCCTCCAACAGACAATTTAGGAAACACAGAGACCCCCCAGAAGCCCCTCAGATGCCCCCACGAAAACCAAAGAGGTCCCCAAGAAATCCGCAGAAGGCACGGCTATGTCACGCGCCTGTGCTTGCCAGCGCGGTCCAACTTCCAGCGTCCCCCCAGCTTGGACTAGAACTTGAGCGCGCGCGAAGCGCTCGCGATAGTGCGTATATAGATATATACGTATGTAAATACACATGCGTATTGAAACATACACATGTGTAGTATATCTATGTATATACACATGCATACATACATACATACATACATGCATGCATGCATGCATGCATGCATGCATGCATACATACATACATATATGGTCCTGGGCTTGGTCCCCCCCCCCCAATGCTGATGCCATTGGGCCCCCCCCCCCGCGCGAGGGTCCCCCCCGCCCCCCCCTGTGGGCGTGGCGTGGTGCTGCGCTGCTGTGCCCCCCCCCCTGTGGATGTGGTGTGGTGCTGTGGTGGTTCAGAAGTGGGCGTGGCGTGGTGCTGCGCTGCGGTGCCCCCCTCCTCCCCCCCTGTGGATGTGGTGTGGTGCTGTGGTGGTTCAGAAGTCGTCGTCGTCGTCGTCGTCGTCGTCGTCCTCGTGGTCCTCGTCGTCCTCGTCGTCCTCGTCGTCGTCGTCATCGTCGTCGTCGTCGTCATCGTCGTCGTCGCCGTCGTCATCGTCGTCATCGTCGTCGTCGCCGCCGCCGCCGGTGTCGTCGCCGCCGCAGCCGTCGTTGTCGTCATGGTCGTCGTCGTTGTCGTCGTCGCCGTCGTCGTAGTCGTCGCCGTCGTCGTCGTCGCCGTCGTCGTCGTCGTCGTCTCTGGGACCATACCATCTGGGGGGGCGGGTGGGGGGCCCGAGGAATCCTGGGACCATACCATCTGGGGGGGGGGCCCGTGAACCCTCGACCCTGGATCAGATATAGATATGTATAGATATGTAAATATATTGCGAGAGAGGGAAATCAAGGGGGATAGAGAGAGAGAGAGCGAGACTGCGAGAAGACGAACGAGAGAGCAAGAGAGAGAGAGAGAAAGTGAAACTGATATATACACACATATATATATATATATTACACAGGATGCAGTGCTTGGGTACGTATGTAGAGAGAGAGAGAGGCAACAACCAAACTGATATAAATATATATAGACATATTTATATATATATATATAGAGAGAGAGAGAGAGAGAGAGAGAGACGGAGAACGACTGCGCCAGTATCGGCGCATACGTTCAGCTTTCGCCAGGTCTTCGTTATCGTCTGCTTCACCGCGCACTTGCTCATGGCTCTGCGCTTCCTCGACCTCGCCTGGCGGGGGGGGGGACTCGGAGGAAGCAGGCGCAAGGCCGACACCACGGTCAGGCCTCTCGGCTGTGGGGCTCCATGCCGCCTTGTCGAGCTGAAGTGTTGAATTGGTGTCGGGCAGCAGCCGCATCATTCCACGAGGGGCCTTCAGCACAGCGGTGTTCCGGCTGCCAGTTGTGTGTTTTTGCCCGGAGGTGGTTGGAGTATGCAGAGCAACGTCGTGTTGCGGGATGCCTGAACACGCTGTCTCTCTTTCTCTCTGTCTCTCTCTCTCTCTGGTTCATCCTGTCTCTGCTATTTCAGCTTCCGTTCATGCTGCTGCCTTCCTTTTTCCTTCGGCGGCCACGAGTACTGCTGATGTTGCTCTTGTCCCTCGCTTCCTCGGGCTGATCTGCCCGCCTCTGTAACCTCAGGAGGTCTTTCGATTTGCTCCCCCACGCTGTTTCTCCCGGCGGTGAATAGAACTGGTCCATCATCTTCCTCCTCCTTCTCTTTTCTCCTCGTGGTCGTAGTCGTCATTGTAGTCGTCGTCGTTGTTGTTGCGCAGCGGGTGCCGCGGATAAATAGTTATGTTCTACTATTGGTGGGACTCAAGTTTGTCAATAATGGCGTCGAAGGAATACTCAGTTTCCACTATTGGGGTGGGGGTTCTAATGACCTAGTTTGATTTCTGTTTGAGATCTGGCGTTGGACAACAGATGCAACATCGCAAGGACTCATGCCAACAACCCAGGGCCCCAATCCGGGCGAAATCGGCCGTTGAGGGAAACATGCTACGCCAGGGTTCCAGGGCTGCCATGGGGCCATGTTTGTTTAGATTCTGGCAGGTTTGCGTGTATGGAGGGGGGGAGTGTAGGGCGGCGCTCCGAGCGTTCCAGAACGCTGTGAGAAGGCCGCGGCGCCTTCGGGTGTTGCTGGAAGTGCAGCCGCTCTGGGAGCGACCCCTCCCACCTGAGCGGCCCTCGCCTTTTCACCCCTCCCCGCGGCCGCCCGCTCTGTCTTCCTCCCTCTTCTTGCATGTTGGCCAATTTGCTACAACGGTGCCCCCGTTCAGTTAGCTTCTTCCGCCAGCGTAGTTGATCCTTGCCTAGCCGCCGACGACATAAATAAGTTGCTGGAAGTGCCCCTGACCCAAGGAGAACTCAGGATTTCAGGGAGGCCCACACGGCCTCCAGAGCACCCATCACGAGTCCCAGCGAGGCCCCAGGGCCTCCAGGAGGCAGCGCAAAGCTGGAAGGCACCTTGGGCCGGCGGCACCTGTAGTGCGCAATCCCCGCGACATCCTCCAGAGCCGCGGGGCCTCAGAGATTCTCAGAGATCCTCGACCTCATCCGCACCCGAAGAGGAGGAGGAGGAGGAGGCGGAGGAGGCGGAGGAGGAGGAGGAGGAGGAGGAGAAGCAGGAGGGGGAGGGGGAGGGGGAGGCGGAGGAGCAGGGGGAGCGGGAGGAGGAACAGAGGAGGAGAGAGAGGAGGAGGAGGAGGAGGAGTAGGAGGAGGAGGAGGAGGAGGAGGAGGAGGAGGAGGAGGAGGAGGAGGAGGAGGAGGAGGAGGAGGAGGAGGAGGAGGAGGAGGAGGAGGAGGAGGAGGAGGAGGAGCGAGGAGGAGGAGGAGGAGGAGGAGGAGGAAGAGAGAGGAGGAGGAGGAGGAGGAGGATGGAGGAGGAGGAGGAGGGGTGGAGGAGGAGGAGGAGGAGGAGGAGGAGGAAGGAGGAGGAGGAGAGGGGAGGAGGAGGAGGAGGAGGAGGAGGGGGAGGCGGAAGAGGAGGAGGAGGAGGAGGAGGAGGAGGAGGAGAGGAGAGGAGGAGGGAGGGAGGAGGAGAGAGGAGGAGGAGGAGGAGGAGGAGGAGGAGGAGGAGGAGGAGGAGGAGGAGGAGGAGGAGGATGAGGAGGAGGAGGAGGAGGAGGAGGAGGAGGAGGAGGAGGAGGAGGAGGAGGAGGAGGAGGAGGAGGAGGAGGAGGAGGAGGAGGAGGAGGAGGAGGAGGAGGGGCAGCTCAGGCAGGAGCAGTGAGTGGGCCGGGCGTGCGGGCCCCGCGTGAGAGCGCGCGCGCTGCCCTTTTGTGCTGCGCGCCTCGAGCCGTGGCCCGTGCTCTCCGCCCTGCGTGGCCCGGCGTCGGGGGCCCGGCCAGGCCGGACGGCCACCACCTCACGGAGATGGCGGACCGCCCCGGCAAGGACCCGCGGGGAGCCGCCGTCGGGGGCGGCAAAGATTTGCACGAACGAGATGGGCACGGAAAGGATGGGTGCAATGCCCAACAGCAGTTCCTGTTTGTTTTTAACAGGGCTCGCTGTCCGCGCCGCCGCGGCCTGTGTCCATTTGCGACAGAAGGCCGCCCGCCCAACAGCGGCCGCTGTTGGTTTGGGACAACACTTGTTGTTGGGGCGTGTGCCCATTTTTTCCGTACCCATTTCGGGCGTCCAAAGGGGGCGGCAAATATTAAGAAGGCCTGTCCCTCTACAGGGGGAATATTCAAAAAAGCAAACCATAGTCTGGGGACTATTTTTGAGTGTTTGTCCATTCTGGATTATATTTTTCTTTTTTTTTGTCGTTCGTCGGAAATCCCCCTGTAGGGGGACGCCCGACTCAAGGCAAAGAGGGGGGTGATGACTAGGGGGGGGGGGGGATATCATGGCGGGGGCCATGATACTTCCCCAGATTTCAGGGCGCCTCTTCTTATTTCATCATACGTCCCTGGCCCCCCCCCCCAAGGGCCGCGCACATGCCGCCGGCCATGATTTGCACCCCCTCCATTCTTGGACGCCCCCCTCGTTGGCCGCCCCCGACGCCGGGTGGGGGCGCCCGTTCTGCGGCCGTCGAGTCGCGGGCGTCGGGGAGGCTCGTCCCTGCGGGGGGCGGGCCAGCCCCCTCCGTCGGCGAGCGCGCTCCACCACTCGCAGTCAGAGCCCCGAATCATCAGGGGTAACTCGGGTCAGGGCTATCTCGGGTTCGTTGTTTGAGAATCCGAGCCCGAGTTGCCCCGGGCCCGAGGTACCCGGGATAATTCGGGCGCCCAACGCAGAGTGCCTGCTCGCCGACGTTCGAGAACACGCACGTTCGGCTCGGTGGAATGGAGCGTGAGTCCTCCGCGGCTGGTCCAGGCCATCTGCGAGTCGTGACTCTGCGAGTCGTGGGGCGCGCTTTTGCCTGCTCCTGGTCGGTACGATCGGAGCTAGTACGGGAAGAGTTGCTGCAGGTGCTGTCCCAAACCGACAGGGACCGTTGTTGGGCAGGCAACTGTGACTTCAAATGGACAACGTCCGAGGGGACACCGGCATCATATTCGGTTCAGAACGATCAGGAACTGCTCCTGGTCTACATCACAATTTGGAGGTCCACGCGGATTCCTTGGATCGGCACTGGACCTCCCTGGCGGTGCGTCTGGCGCCGCCCCTGGCGCGCGGAGCGCCAGGGAGGGGGGTTCAGGGGTTCTGCGCCGATCTGAGGAATCCGCGCGGACCTCCGAGTTGTTTTTGTGTTTACGCCGTCGTTTGTTGCCCTAACACTGATCAGGAGCGGGTCCTGCTTGTCTTGAACCCGATTTGCTGCTAGTGTCGCCGCGGACGTTGTCCATTTGAAGCAACAGTTGGCTGCCCAACAGGGGTCGCTGTCGATTTTTGGACTCCCAAAGGACTGCGGAGACATCCAGAGACCTCCAGAGGAGGTTTCTTCTGCCAGGGAAACCTGCGCAGGCCCAAACCTATGGCCTCTCGAGGGGGTTGGCGCCGGACGGGTTGACTGATCCGGGTTTGAATTGACCAGGGTCAGTAGGAGCCCGAAGGCCGCTTCAGAGTTGAGGATGAAGATTTGGCCGCTGGGAAATTGTCGAAAGGGAGTTGGCGATTCGACACGAACAAGGTGGAGTAGTCGTTGTTCGCGCGTGCTGTCCCCAGAGGACCCAGCAGCCAATCTAATCGCGATGCGACTTGGCCAGCAAGTTTGAGTCTTTCCTCGTATTAGGTTCCTTGCCGCCTGAGTGTGCTTGAACTCCTTTTCCCTCCATCAGCTGCCTCTGCTCGTTTCGTCCAGCACACTCATCAGTCCAGTTGTTTGTCGGGGTCCCAACGGAGAAACATGATATTGTGAGGATTTCGGTGGAGGGGGAGTCGGTGGAGGGGGAGTCCGACAGTGGTCGGGGTGGGTCAGCAGGGAGGAGGCCAAACGTGGTGTCCCCCCCCCTTGAGTACCAGGGGTGCCCCTGTACACCCGGGGGATGCGCGGGGGGGGGGGGGGCGATGTACATTTGTGGCTGTTGTTTCATAGGGGTTCTGAGCCACCCTCCGCAGGGTCATCTGGGCGGGTCGCGGCCAGAGCAACGTCCATCCAATTCTAATGTTGGATCGCAAACAGCAAATACAGTCGGTCCTGATCAGCAGGTTGACCCTGCAAAATCAAGGGTACCCTTGTGTTCTGTGTCTCGCCTCCCGTACCTCCTACGTTCCTATGGCAATGTGGTCCTCGGAACGGTTTTGTGTCCTCTCGCGTGTCCTGTCCGATCAAGTCCAGCTGTAAGCGAGCGGGGTCAGACGACACCACCGTCCAGATTCTGGACCTTGTAGCTCGACTGTTATCTCGAGAAGACCCTGCGCCCACTACAGTCGGGGCCCTGAAGAAAGAACCCTTTTCGTTGGGGAGGGGCTCCGCTTTCCTTGAGTGTTACACAGCTCGCCTCAGGCTTTCCTCATGTTTTCGAGAGGAAATCGAAATCGAGGAAATCGAGGGCCTCGTTCCTTATTTAGGGTTCCTTAGGTCAACGCCCCGACTGTACGCCCCCCCTCCACGGCAAGCTGGGGCTGCGGAGCGCGAGGGGCAGCCGAGAAGACGGGCCCCCGCCTGGCCTCGGGGCCGTGAGAGGCCTGAGGCCCCAGGCGGTGAGGCGGTGGGCGCCTGCCAGGGCTCTCCGACCCTCAGCACCTGCTTGCGACTCAGAGGAGGAAGAGGTACTCCAGATTTCGTAATAAAAGGGAGGGGGTCTCAACCCTCCCAGACGAGAAGTTTTAGACCCTCCCAGACCATCCATGAAAGGGCGGCCCTTTGCCCAGACCCCCCCGAACCCTCCAAGACAGCTCAAATCAGACCCCCCCCAAAATGTTACCACCCCGCCTTTCTTATGGAATACGGAGTACCCATACCGCTACCCGTTCGTCGGTGCTCCCCTCTTGGGGCTGCCCGGGTGGCCCTCGTCGCCGCCGCTGGCCTCGCCCCGAAAAATTCGGGGCAGCACGCACCCCGGGAAAGCTCCGGGGACCAGCGGTATCGGTGCCTCTGCTTGGATGGCCGCGGCGGTTGCTAAGTACTTAACATATTTACTACGGTAAGTTAAGTACTTAGTAAGTAGTTAGCGGACTTAGCTAAGTACTTACTCAGTCATTACTAAGTGGCCCACTTAGTAATGACTTAGTAAGTACTTAGCTATCCACTTATAACCAGTTAGCTAAGTGCTTAGCGCACTTAGCTAACCACTTATAACCGCTTATAGCTAGTTTGCTAAGTAGGTTATAAGTGACTTAGCGGTTACATTGCACTTGTTATCCAAGGGCCATGCACAGGGAAAAAAGGTAAATCCACGTCTTGAAAGAGCTGAGTTTGTTCGTTGAGCGCTGCAGCGCTACAATTTTTGCATTTTGATTTGGAGTCGGTGTCCTGGATTTTTGCTTTAAATATGAGAGGCGCTGCAGCGCTGCCTTCGGATTTATATGAACATGAAGCGCTGCGTGCGCTGAAGATGAAGCGCTGCAGCGCTGAATGTTGAGTTAAATGCATGTTTTCTAGTTGTACGTTGTTCGGATCTTCATTTTCGCCCAGCTCCGTTTGCAAGGAATTTGAATGCACATGTCAATTATGTTTTGTTGTATTCGTTCTTTTTCAATGGTCGCATTGAGCGCTGCAGCGCTCCAAATTTGATAGCACGTATGTTACTTTGCGCTGCAGCGCAAAAAAATGGTTGTCGTCGTGATGTCGCATCGCGCTGCAGCGCGTGCGCGCTCGTGCTTCATGGGCCTCGGGCTGCAGCCCAGATCAACATATTTGCTCGCAAGTTGCATGTCCATGCAAGTCGATGTTCACGCGCACGCCGCGCGACAGCTTGTCTCAAGCTGCGGCCGCGCGCCGCATCCGCCGTCGCGCCCGCGGGCTCGCACGTTGCATTCGGCGCTATATATAGCGCTGGCATGGCGCTGCAGGCGCGTCAGGAGGAGCAGATCTTGCAGTACATCGAGGAAAGCAATTCCTCGGGGAGGTTGGCATCGGGGTGGGATCAACTGAAGGAGTTCCTGCTGGCGGAGGGGCTAGCGTATTACCAGCAGGTCCCACCGAACCAGATGGGCATCGACATTCGGAACCGCAGCGGTTCGTTAGTGAACCCTGCGCGGGCTCACAATTTAGGCGCGAAGATTTGCGCCCAGGGCTTCGTCTTGGCCAAGACGGCTGCAGCCACTGCCTTCGAGGCCCCGCAGGGGGCGCAGTTGGAAGAGACCGCGATGGCGAACGACCGCCTTTCGCGGCTCAGCGGGGGTCGGTGCCCCCCGCTGGACTCATTGCGGTATACGTCAGTGGGCGGCTCCCACACGAACGTCTTCCTCCGCTGCGTGCTGGCCAAGGCGCCGACCACAGTGAAGGCGCTGGCAGACTCTCGGGACAACATCGACTCCGAAAAGCTGTGCGCGTTGCATCCGCAACTTGCGACGGCAGTCAAAAAAGGCCTGACGTGGTTGATCATCAAGCACGCGGTGGCCAAAGTGAAGGGCCTCAAGATTTTCGTGCAGAGGGCTTTGAACGCCGACGTCAGGGAGGCGGTTCACGAGACCGAGATCATTCGGTCAGGCTGCAGCCTATCCCCACTATAGTATATAGCGGTATGTAGTAAGGACCAGGATGATGCACGAGGAGGGTGATGAGTGGGAGCGCGTTGGGGAGGAGGTGAGAACGAGGAGCAGGAGCATTATATCTTACAGTGCTGCAGCACTTGATCGGCTCGGCGCTTGCTGCAGGCAGGTGGGCGGATGCTCTTGGCACACAGCCTCGCTGAGGGTTCCAGCAAGCCCGATTGGCGCGACATCGCCGAGCAAGCGGGCCACGCGAACCCACCTTGCAAGGCGTGGATCGCTGACTTGTGCAAGTTTGTTGAGCTCGGGCCACAAAACGGAGAACTTCTCCGTGAAATAGATGAAGCCCTCAA